TTTTAGCCACATGTTTTGCTACAGCTTATGTCATCATCACTATCCATTGATATCAATTATAAATTATGGAATGAATTAAAGCATAATAATAAAAGTGGAATTGATATTGTTTATCATTTTTGAACGCATTCTGTGCAATATTACCAGATTATATTGCACTGGTCAAATTTGATCTTTGTCACTTTTCCCTACTTTGACTTTGAATTGCTAGAGTCTTCTGCTGTGGTGAAAAAATAAACTAACTTTCATGTTGTCTAATAATATGATTTAAATGACAGCTCACCTGAATAGTTTTTAACTTTCTAAACATAACATCTTATGCAAGTGTTGATCCATCATATGGTCTTCATATCAAAATTTGTTTATTTGGCCCAAACAAAGCTTAATCGAATTTCGTTCTAAAAAGCTCGTATAAAAATGATGGTGATATTGTGTGTGTCTGTTTATGTACTCCATTCCACTTTCAATTTCGAATGCAAAACAGAATAGTCATGAGATAAAATGAAAATTAGTGCACTACAGAAAACTATAATTAATAAATATGATACAGTTTGTTTACTGTTTGCAATCACTAAGCGGAACTTTATATCTGAAAAAAAAATTTTATTACCATCGGAAGTGAAATTAAATAACATTCCACAAAAAATGCCTAGTGTCACTTAATGATAAGCGGATTTCACTTAATAGCTTCTACAAAGCTGGTTTTTTCAATTCAAGACGGAATAATTAACAAACTTTCGCCTCAAAGTTCTAGTGATGATGCCAATTTTGTCGGTATTGGTACTAATAATAACATTTACGAACACAAAATAGGAAGTTTTTATAAGAACAGGAAGAATGACATCAACCATTTCAAATTATCCTTACTACTTCACTATTTTGGTAGTGCACTTATTATCAATTTATTAGAAAATAAAGAAGGAAAGAAATTAACCAACATGAACACTTTTGCAGCCCATAAACGAGCTTTTGAACCTTCAATTCATAGTTCTACCTAAACTTCTCAACAATTCAAATGTAATATGTAATATTGGGGACAAAAGAGGGAAATGCCACTTATAATAAAATCAGGAACGATAACATGTTTTTAACTTATTAAACATTCAAAAGTTGTTAAAGTACTCAAAAGAAAAAGTGGAACTTACTCGTCTTCGGGTATAACCATGAATTTTAATATGACAGACATCGTTGTTCATACGAGGTAGATGTGCCCCGCTTCATCCAATTCCCAGAAAAGGTTTCCTGTGATGAGGTTATTTTCATTAAATGAACAAAAGTACAAAGTAATGAGAAATTTTATACCATGAAGACTGTCTTATCATCGGCATACTATTACACGTTACAAAAATATAGATGAACTGAAGAAATAGAAATTACCCAGCTCCAATACCTTCCAGGTAATATTTGTAAATAATCAGATGTCCACTAGGATTCAAAACAGTAGTACGCTTTCGCCAACGTATCCAAGTGCTGTAAGGGACCTTTTTTCGATGTGTCCGGAAAGCGCAAACGGTAACGAGAAAAGTGCTTCCTAAAAATGCTCACATCTTGATTTTATATGTTCTTGAAGTGAATAATCATAAACACAATCCTTCTGTTTCTTTACATCGTTTTTTTTTTTGAAAAAAGGATTGCATTAAATCAAGAGACAAATCATGATTCGGAGAACAATAACCAACGCAAATATGTGAATGAATCATTCTTTAAACAAGTGCAGAGAGATTTGCAAAAATTAATGGAAGAATAAATAAAGATGAGATGTAAAAGATATGCTGTGAAGGGTGACAACCTGATCCGGCAGACTAATATAATCGTCGTTATGCCTAAACAAGCGCATGTTAAATTAGACAAGAAGTATCACCAATCAACAACCAATGCATACACAAATATAATGACACAATAAATTGTCTGTCAATTGACAGTCCTATTTAATGGACCAAATAAAATATTCAGGTTTCTTGAAAGTTGTCATTTCTGATCAAAAGGTAATATTCCATGCCGTGGAAGGCAAGGGATTGAATGGTTAACTAAGTACTTATTTAATCATCTAGTGGAATCATATAAAAATACCAGTCACAAATTTGAAATAAAATGAAAGTTACAGATGATATGAGTAACAAATTAACATATTGACAATATTAAAATGTAGCAAGCACTCGGACAAACAAGTGAAGTTCCAAGGTGGACTATTGCCTACTGCCTGAAATTGTTATAACACAAATAGAAGATGTTATTCTACAAGTTGGTAGAACAGGAATATTAACTCCAGTTGCATTGTTAAAGTCTGTTAATGTTGGTAGAATTTTAGTTTCAAGAGCTATTTAACATAATGAAGATGAGATAAAGGGTAAAGACTTCAGAACAGGGAATATTATTAATATTAAAAGAGTTGGTGCGGTGATATTATATTTCGAGTTATTGAAGTAGATGTTAATAAACGAAAGCGCAATGGAAGAATTTTCGAATTTGAATCTAGCGTTAAACAAATTGAACGGCAGGCAGCTACTAGATGTACAGGGAATAGAAACTAGAAACTGTTCTGCACAATTACTTGACTATCTTTGTTATTTTGTGGAGTAGGATGCATTTGATATTATTGGTTTGGGAGAGAAATAACTAGAGGAATTTTTTAAAGATGACTTAATCCAAAGGCCAGCGGACATATTTAAAATTCCGGAAGTAGGTGCTGATATTCTAGACAATTTAGGGAAAAGACCGGTTGAGGAAAAAAAAAATTTAGAGATCATGGTTTGATGAAACGCTTGCTGTAAGCAGCGAATATTTTTTTATTCTTAAGACCTTTCGTTAATATCAATAAAAACTTATGAAAACAGCGGATGTCATAGAGGTGGGCAATAAGCGATGATGACCTTGCCTGCTTGGTTGATTCTTTGAATAAGTTTCGTAGAAACAAAAATGTTAAATGCCTCGATATATGTCAGCTGAAATTTAAACACAATGAAATAGTGTTAAAGAGCTAATCAAACAGTTTATTGACCTTTTTTTTTTCCGCTGATACCACTAAACTGATTGCCCTTAAAAGATCCCAACATTCAATTGACTTCTTTACGTAACGTATTCATATTCATTCCAGGATGAGTCATAACATCCCTATCGTGGATCTGTGTCATCACGCTATTAGCATTTCATGCAGAAGTAACAGCGATTTCAGATTATAAATTAAAATTATCATAACTTTTCTCGAACATACCTTTACTAGTTAAAATAACCATTAAAAATGATATTCCTTGCAAAGTGAAAAAGGCTTATTTGATTTCTGTGGAGTAGAAATCTGCGCTTCGGTATTTAACGAACTCTTGAAAAGTATTTTCTGCATCCCATTGATTATAAAAGCGTTCCTGGAGAGATGAATGAGGAAGAAAGTATAAGTTGCAAGAAGTCAGCTGAATATGCTGAATACGGCAAAACTTCGTCCTCCATTGCGCTCAATTCCTGAGTACTAATTGTCCAATATATAATTAGGCTTTGTCTGTGACAAAAAGTTTTATACCACAACAGTTGACAATTTTTACTATCGCTGGATGAAAAGACTTTTCGGAACAGAAATTGCACTAGATTTCTTAATTTCTCCAGAATCATTACTTCTGAAAAGTATGTTAAACAAATCAATGAGATGCATTGAGAAATGCAGTTCTCGTAGAAACATCGATGAAGAGAGAGGGCTTAGTTCTTCTCTACACGCCAGAATCTGATAAAGAAATGATCCATTTATACTGCATAGAATAATTTTAAAAAGGCGATTCATTTAATTATCAGTCAGTCCATGAGTTAATTTTAGTCAATTCATTTTAAACTGATTTCAGTGGCGCCACTTAAACAAGATCATCTCAACAGGTAAGTTCAGCATCTATTACTTGTGTAGCCACATTATTTGTAAAGAATTACCAATTTGCGGAAAATTTCGGAACTTAACAATCAGAAATCTATTCTCACAGCTTTTCACTGATATTCCTTTGTTACCATGCACGTTTGGAAAAGAGGAGATGGACGCTTGTGAGGGAAGGAATGCACGTTTGCGACGGAAATGCACGACAGCTAACGTACTGCATTACTCATTAATTGTCAGAAATTTATAACAAGTACAGTCCGTCCTGTCACGTGCTTCCTACTTGCTTTCTTCACCGTAATGCTTCAACTAATTTTCGACCGATTATGGAAGTAATTGACACCCGGGAGAACATATTTTCATTAACATCCCATCAGAGTAGCCCAAAAAGCCGCGGTTTGGTCCGAATTGTTATTAATTGAGGGAAATGTGGTTCTTATCCAACAGCGATGTGGGTAGGTGGAGGTGGGCCCTTTTTGTTAGCTCTGCTAGGTTGGGCTTCTATGAAAATGTTGAGGGCCGCGTTATTTTGAGCCACGAGTACGCAGCTGAAGGAGGATTTTCATCGTCAAGGTGGTATTTTATAAATTTTTGCGACTGTAACGTAGCCTAGTCAGATCCGAACGTTGTGGAACAGACGACACTTCCAGGTCATTTTACAGTATTTCGCTTTATCGTCAAGCGAAAAGGTCTAAGCTGGATCATTCTGTATTTGTCTCGTTGAAGTTGGTTTGGATAATTGAAGAACACCAAAGCTGCGTGCCGATGATACTGAACAATACTTATAATTTGCTTCGCGTTAGAAGTCCTGCTTAAATTTTGGACAGTTTAAAAAATGACGAAGGTCGTTAGGAATTATTATTCGGTTCATAGTTTCTGAAGTATCTTAGATATTATTTACAGTCAGCCGATAATTTATCACGAAATGGTAACTGAAAGAGAAACAAGCAGCATCAGTGATATAAGTAAATAGCTAAACAGTTCATCTGTAGATAGGTGGGTATATAATTGATGAGAAAGCTGGGTTTTTCGAAATTCGCATTAACTAGCCATTAGTCCATGACAGTGAGTTTCATAATCGACGAAAGATAGCTCATATTTGTTGTTTGATAAGGATTTAATTGCTAGTTGCATTATTTTTTAAACTTTATGACTACACTGAGCGAGTTTACTGGGTCAAGTCTTAGAACTATCGCTGTTTAACTAACAAATTGTGATTTTGACAAAAATAGGTTAGCGAATTCAAGTGAACAGGAGATGATTCATTTCGTAACATAGGTTATATTGAAGTTGCTTGAACTATAACTATCATCCTCTTTTTATCAACTCTTTGCATGTTGCTCTTCCAATGAGGAATTTTATTTTCAAATATATTCATATTCTAAATGGTTATGTCGTTTTGATTCTTAACTGTCGTGCCGGATTTGGTTTTCAGTCTGTCAAGCAACGTTTTATGAGTAAGGCAAGAAGCTGGAAATTTATTTGGAAAGGTTTACCATTTTTGGCAGCTGGTGGTGCCACTTTGTTACTTGCATATAAAATTCAGCAAATCAAATTCGAATTCGGTCCATCCTCTTGTACACTTGCTGATGCTGAGGAAATTGTACGTTGTTATTTTGTTGGACACTAAAAATTAGAATGAAAAATCTCAAAATATTGATTAAGCCACAAAATTTTATCTTTTTGAATAAGAGTTTGTTGCTTTTTAATGAATTGAACATATTTTGTGCACGTGATTTACAGTCTTCATTTATAGAAATATTTATCAGATAGTTCAACATAGACTATAAAACAAAGCGAAGTTCAACTGCTGAATATTTTTCAAGACATGGTACTCCAAAAGTGGAGTACCATCTCTTAAAGAGGGATGGTACTCCAACTCTGTCTCAAGCGATGTCTTAGGAGGGAGAAGTTTAATCTCAAATACTAGACGCGATTTTGTTTTTCTTTGTGTAAATTTGTTTCCGACCCGACAGCAAAATACTTTAGACAGAGTAGATATCATTAGAAAATGTAGAGAGATTCAAACCCCAAGTCAGAATGTTTACTTTGCAAATGAGTTGATTTTGTTCGAATTTTGAAAATATTGCTTGAAGCTACCTTTCAGATTGCTGCGTTTCAATTACATTATTTCGCTGGCATCACCTAATAAAGAGAATTTTTCCTTTTCTGAATATCAATGTTACGTCATCTAAAAATGATTCATTTTGTTCAATTTGTGTAAGAAGCAAAGGCATCTATATTTGAGTGCGTAGCAAGCTACTCTTTGTAATCAGCAAATTGTGGACGTAAGACGAGTCTTCAGAAACAATTTTTCAGAGTCAGTTTTTGAACACCAGAGGAATTAGCAATCGACAGGAAAGTATAGAAACCGTTTATCAGGTAATTATCCTACCTAAACATTTCATCCAACTTTGAAATTTTTTCTGCATACTTTAAAATATAGCGTCAGTGCTTCTGTGTGCTCAGGAACTCGTCAAGAAAAACGACGACAACTGGGAAAATATTCGAGGACCACGTGATTTGGAGGACAATAAAGAGTTTCTTCAGCTGAAGTAAACATTTTTGGGCAGTCAAGTATTATTTTTCATGTGCATGTTGATTTCTAAGTCTACACTGTTCTTTTTTTCCGCATGTATGAAAACATAATTACAGAAAACGTCGGCAAGAAGAAAGAGAAATAGCCAAGAAGAAATTAAAGCAGCAAAGATAAATCATTGTTTAAATGTCAGACGAGCTGCCAGACGAAGACTTCCAGAGGTTAGTTTTTGCTTTTGAAAAATCAATAATTCGGCCTAAATTTTACAAAATGCATTACACAATAAATTCATGATTTGTTTGGTCGCATGTGCAATAATTGAATGACAGTATATCCATTTTTGCTCACTCATTATTAAATCTTAATCATATAATGCATCTCAAACGTTTTCATAAGGTTCTGGTTTGTAATGATGCTTTTTACTTATGTTAGAAGCATTCCCATACAACGGTTTTATCCACTCTCAAATAGCACAACCTTCGAGATGTATTTTGAAATCGCAGACGTTAACGTATTTCAGGATAGAATGTTGCAGATTTATTCTGTATTTATTAAAATCTCATCTAGGAAAAGTGAGACAGTGCATTCACTACTTTTGTACTTGTAACCACCATAACGAAACTTTGAACATATTTATTTGTTTGTGGTTGAGCCTTTATTCTTTGAAATTATCATTTTTGCAGCATACCAGCAACTGATCACAGGGTAGGCTCGTCTGGTGACTTCAGTGAAACACCTCCACCTCCACCGGGCTTCCCAAATACAAGTAGGGAAGCTGTTCGAGGTAGCGAACGAACTCCTGTAATTTCATCTCCTGCAGGGTCCGACTTCCCGCGCGCCTCCACAAACGGTAAATTTTTTCTTAAATTTCCTTAAACAGTTTTATTGTAGTAAGATATATATTGTGTATTTTGCCTGAATTCGATGCGACATTTTCTGATAAGGTACCTTTTCAGAAAGAGTAAACATTCAAATCATTGCCGATCCTACCATTGATCGTCAAACAAGTTTCTCGTCATCTTCCGCACCTACAAGTCAGAGTCAATTAACACAACCTATATTAGATCCAACAAGCTCTTCTATATCTTCCGTGGAAACTGCTGTGTCTACTCAGCCATTTTATGTGCCTGCGGTTCCAGATTTCAATCAAGAAACGCTGTATACGACGGCTGAATCTTCTCAATCGGGTAAATTCAATCATAACTATTTGGCTAAATGTGCTGAATATACTGCAATATAGACAAATTAGTTTTATTGCATTTTCCTTGTACTCAACTACCATGAAAATTGCGAAAGGTTATCTTGGATACTAAGGTAAAGAATCACCAACAAACATCGTAAACATTGTGTATCATTCATACTTGGCTAATACTATCTGAATCAGTATCTGCTTTCGACTCGTGCTGTGTATTTCATTTGTCAAGTAAATTGAATTTTAGTAATGTTCCGTTCGATGCAGTTAATATTCGAACCTTGTTCGTAGTTAATATTCGTATCCTGTACTTTGAAATCCTGTTTTAGTGACATCAAATCTATTAGATCCTGATATTTCATTGGCGCAGACCTTAGTCGCGGGTGCCAGTTGTTCACATCCCGCCGATCCTGAAAATAAGGAAGATCTTGTGGACCCCGCTTTGCTAGCTGAAATACTGCAGTTGGGATTTGAAGAATCTATTGCTGTCTTAGCTCTATCAAAAACGAAAGGTATTTAGTTCCTTCGTTTTTTGTCTAGTAATAAACTGCATGCTTCCCTTATTAAAAGATGAAAACGAATGTAGCGCAAAATTATGGATTCTTGGATATATGTTGCATGTACAGCGTGGTGTGTCGTTTTCCGAACGACATTTTCTTCAGTAAATATTGTTTGAGTCGTACGAATATTTTAATTTTTCATATCATTCTCAGAAATCGGTGGAGCTGAAGCAGCGATAAATTGGATCTTAGAACATAGCAACGAAAGTGATTTTGAATCGGACGAAGAACAAAATTCAATGGGCGGTTTGTTCTTACATTTATAAATTGTTCAGCTGTCGTTTTCTGGTAAATGATGATAAATTGATGGAAATTTTAGCAGGGATGTAAATTTTTCTTACAACAGATGCATAATTGGTTGGTTTATGCCGATCACCAGAACTTTTTCTCCCACTCAGTAATGAATTAAATATCAATAATGTTTTATCTCTCCCAATATGCACCGTATGACATTTTGGCTAAAAATGTTCAAAAATATCTTATTTCAGGAATCCATTCTACAAGTATCATAAACAGGCAGCATAAAATGGTGTTCGTTGTTAATATGAGTCTTAAAATGGGAGCAGGAAAGTTGGCTGCTCAAGTCGGTCATGCAACACTCGGTGTTTATCGGCTTGCGCAGAGAAGCGAAGATGTTTGTGATGGTTTTTGTGTAATGTACTTTTTAAACGGATGGTATCAAAGAAAAACCATTAGAAGCATTATATTTCACTACCTCTATGATAATTGAAGTATGCGTTTCAGGGGCAACATGCATTAGATGCTTGGAGAATATCAGGAGAAATGAAAGTGGTTGTTAAAGGTCATAACACTGAGATGCTTCTCGACTTTTTCAAACAAGCGAAAGACTTGGTAATTTTAAACTGTTTACTACCCGAAATTTGTTGGGGAATTGGGCTGCATGAAAAAATACTAAAATGTTTTAGTTGTATTCAGTTACTGTTAAACCTTCGAACGTGTTACCCATAATGAAAGTATATTTTAGCATTGAATGCCATAACTTTTGTGTATGAAAGTTGCATTTTTATCAAAAGTTGTCAACTTTGCGTAAATGATGTTAATTTACGTCGATTGACACATTAATCATTCCATGTTAGATGACTCGGTTGGGAAGTATTCAATACCTCAAAGTGAAATTTGAGTCACATCTGATTTATGTACTATGTGTTTTGCATAACTTTTAAAGCACGTGTGTTTTTTTTTCAAAGCAATATGTTGCTCTTCACCTACTTTTTAATTTGCCACAAATTTAGTACTGTTAAATTTTCAGGGTTTATTTGGTTACATTGTATCCGACGCTGGGCGTACACAGATTCCTGCTGGCTCACGGACTGTTCTTGGCATCTTTGGTCCAAGTCATTTAGTTGATTCAGTTACTGGCGAACTGAAACTTTTATGACTTTATCCGCTATAGTGCAGATTGCATAGTTTGGTGCTTATTTATTGTGTGAACATTTAAAATATTTTCAAAATTTTATGTTGGACTTTTTACGAATGAAATTTGACAAGCCTTCCTTTTACTTTTTTTTTGTACGCGTTGTTCTGTTTATGCTATTTTATTTTATGAATCGCCATTAAAACCTAGTTTTCATTGGCAACTTTCAGCGCCAAAAATATGAAAACCCCTGTTTGGGAAACTAATATTGTGCAGTGAAAACTGCAAGTATGAGTATCGAGGAAAGACAGCAAAGTTGCAACAATTATTTATCATCATATTTATGTCATAAGGATTTTATTTGAAATTTCATCTTATTTGATTTCGCTCTAAAGTAACAGCGTAGAGAATCGATTTTGGTTAGTTTTTTTTTTTTCTTGTAGTGGGCCGATCGTTTCGAAGTACTACGTGATAAATGATGCTTAAGACGCTAATGCTGTTTACTCTCAAAAATCTGTGGTTTAAAAATTTTGAAGACAGTTCTGCGCACGCGAGACATGTTTTATATGAAGTCATTTGCAGAATAACTGCTGACTTGCAGTTGGTTTTTGTAGATTCCGCCTTTTTGCTGATGGCTTCTTTGTCACAATATTTCCATGCACTGGAAAATACGACACAGCGTGTGCTGTGTCGAGATTTAACACCACAATCCTTATTGGTTGAGCTCCAATAGGACAGACAGAAAGGGACCTTTTGATTTTAATACTGATCGTTTTTCCTTTATTGGGTTCTTGCAATCGTATGATTTGTTTATAATTATTATTTCTGCTTACATTGTTCCGCTTCGAAGTTTGGATATGTTAGAGTGCTCTTCCCTCTTAAATTTAGAAATGTACTTTCAGAGCTATCGACTTTATTGAACCGTCCTATGGATCTCCACATAAAAAGGTGGTTCCCTACTTACACTACAATAGTTTGTGATGAGCCACTTGCGGTGGAATGCTAGTGCCACATTCAATTTTGCATACTGTAACAAAAACACATATTAGGGATTTTCTGGAATTAGAAAAAATTCATGTAGTATACGCAGTGTTAGGCCCACAAGTGCATACTATTCATCTTTTGGAATATGACATATTAATCTATATTTAAATGACTGGAAAATGCAAAAATGTATTGTAATGTGCGATGCAATAAATCCTGAATAGCAGTTGACCGCGGTGAAAATGGAATAAGAGTAAAGATTTCTTAAAAAGCAAACTTCAGACGTGACCTCAGAACTATCTGGTTTATATTCTTCATTCCATCAAACAGTTCGGCATCGTATAGTCAGCGTAAATTCACATGACATCAAATTTGGAACAGCTTGGCGGGCCTATGGCCTATTTTCAAAAACAGAGTATGAATTAATTGGGACCCAAGAACTTTTCATTAGCATTACGTCGTCTGCAAATCTGCACGAGAATCTATATTTCAACTTTTATATTGAGGCCTTGTCATGCGTTGTTCCCACATGCAAGCTTTGGAAGACGCCAAAATACTCCTACATGAATGAATTCGCCACATATCTCTTGTGGGATTTTTGTGATATAAAATGTAGTGGTAAAAACGCCTTTGGACGACAGACTCCCGGATATTGCTATGAAAAATATTAACAGGAGCGAAGAAAGCTGTAACAACACAAATCTTTACTAGAAATCCCGATGTAATAATGATTCAATAAAATAAGATGCTCACTTAACTTATGAAAGCAATAATGTACAGAAACCTGTGGCAGTGATTGCTGATTGGTAGATGTAGAAATTAATCAGTCAAAGCAGAATTGGAAACTGGTGCAGAGTTCGAGAGGGCACAGAAAAAATAGTGCAAGTGTCACCTGAGTGGAATAATCCCGACATAGCTCTGATTTTTTTAACACAAATTCTACACTTCGCACAGTCTCTCCAGAAGTTTTAAGAAAAAAAAAAAACTTATAGGTAATGTCTGGTGTATGCAAGAATATCGCCTTACGAAAAAAAAAATGCATCAGGAAGTATCTAACGTTACGTATGCACCATAATTGTACTACAAATGATGAAGTACAATAAAAAATAGTAAACATATAAGTGCATTCCTTCGTTTAAAATTCACAAGAGGCAAAAAGCAGTGGAGGATTGCTGGCCAAACCCCTTCTTGTACTCAGACTTTGCTGAATACATCAGTTTCAAAACATTTTTAATACTTTATTCAGACTTTTGAAAACCAGCAGAGAAGATTAATTAGTAATCCCGCCAAAATGATCCATGTGAGTACGGAAAAATGCACCACAACAAAGGTCATCTAAAAGAGTTTGGCCAATCATGTGAGATACTATTGGAGTACATTATCATTACAGGAGAAAATATGAATCAGCCCAAAATTTGAAAAAAAAAATGGGTGAACCTAGAAATACAATCGAATGGCCGACCACCCCACCTAGGTCCCAGATTTGTGTTGTCCCAGAAATTTATTACTACAAAGTTCACTGGAAAGAACTTTACTGAATATGTTTCTGGAACTTTACGTTGTTGCCTAGGAGAATTTTGAAGAACATCCTGAAAATTACTATCAAAACCAGATTGCTCTGTGAAATGATCTGAATAAACAGTTCTCCAGATTCTCCGGACAGCAACACACCTCTCCAGGACCACCTTACGTGAACCCGTTTACACTGGTGGATGAACGGCCATTCAATTTGTTTGAAATTATAGAATTGAAATATTTAAATAAAGAAATCTTAAAGAGTGAAAGAAAGGAGTAGATGAACCAGAATACGAAAAAATGGAAACAAATCCGTTAGAAGCAAAAGGTACCTTTGAAAACATGAAGCTGAAAGACATATAAATTGAAAGACAACCAATTAAAAGGAACATATATAAGAATTTGCATATTTAAACTTTCTGTCCCAATCTCAGCTGAAGAAATAATTAACAGAGGAATTAAATAATAGTGAATATTCTTTAAAATGTCAGCAAAAACGAACAAAAGTAAAGTATACAATAATCCATTATCCATTTCAATACTAGATACTCAGCACCTACTTCTCGAATGGTAAACGAAACGAAAAAACAAGTGGTCGCCCCATGTCTTTAACATCCAAAGCTTGCAGGAAGAGAAAGGATTATTAAAAATGTCGTTAGAAAATATTGCAAAATTAAAAGTATCCTCCGTACCTACTTCTTCGGTTCGCATCTTTTAGTCAGTAAAGCTTCTAGAATTATGCACAGGAACTACACTTCTACTTCATACAGCACCTGACTGTTCCTGCAAACTAGATTCGTAAAAACGCATAATGAAAGAATCATAGATATGAGGAGTCCTGTTACGGCAATGCAAAGAGGAACATCATCTGGCTATGAGGATATTTCGCTATAACCATGACTTATAATTTTAGCAAAAATTAGGAGACTTACTAAATTACAAAGAATCTAAAATCTTTCGATGGGAATACCAAATTCATATGGATGAAAACTACTAGGTAACGACTGAAATCCCTACAGTATTCATCTATGTGCGTGTGTCACCATCCGTTTTTGCGCTGGCTACTTATATTGATATTAACACATCAAGTGTTGCCTCACCATTGTTTCTCGGCCTCGGTGATTAGCAGGACCTAGAGGCACAAGATCACCACAAAGTCTGAGAAGGAACCTGAAATCGAGTTATGATTTTTAGTATAGCATCCCTTAGATATTCTAGAAATAAGGGAATCATCTGAAAATGTTGAAAGTACAGCCCAATTTTAGTCTAAAAAGTTTGTTCATTTAATTAACCAAAAAGGAATTCAACCGTTCTAGTAAATTGTTACAAGATTCCTAGAGATGGTTAGGTATCAAATTTTTCAAAAGCTTACAAAAAAGTAGAGCACATTTATCCATAATAATGTCCACTTTAATATCCTATCTCTCACCAGTAAGGAACAAAAATTTTCTAAATACATTGGAAAGAACACTAGACCGCTAGGGTGTTCACAATGTGGAATAGAATTTACCATTTGGAATTAAAAAGTTGTAATCAAGATTGTAATCAAAAGATTGTAACAATTAATCATTTCAAAACAGAAATAACTACGGATGCCGGATGCTTTCTATTGGCGATCGTGACCAGCAAGACTGGATCAGTAACAGTAGAAAAGTCAGTTTCTCTATTCAAAACTGATAAAAGATCTTGACCCTCAAACTACTAAAGACCTTCATAGCATTAATAGAAAAACCAATTAATAATAATTGTTTTGACCAAACACCAATCACATTCCCTAAAAAGCGAGGAATATCACGATTTACAATGTAAAATAACCTTTTAAAGAAGTGACTGGTGCCGCAAAGTATCGAAAACTTCTGCTCTCTGATCTCTACATCCCAACACAGGTCATATTGCTGCTGTCTATAAGCCTGGACACCTCACTGGCACTCGCCTCAAGTCCTCTGAAAAAATCATGTAAACCTGAAAAACCATATTTCTATCTGACATTGCATATAAACCGTTATCCTTTTAGAGGGGGAATTAATGCAGAACAAACACTAAGAATTCGTAGGGAATAACTCCATATGCAAAGCATGCATGTGATACAATATTCTTTTCTAGCACTTATTTTTGAATTAAAAAAGTGGACTTCTAGAGAGTTTCACATCATTAGTGGGGAATGACACTCCTAGTAATAATGAATAAATGAAAAAAATCACCGGATGACAAGGATTACCAACTAGCTGAGTAAACAAAAGTACTAGTAGTTTGCATAAAGTGTGCAAAAAGAGCAAAGAAATATTGATGAACTAAGGAAATAAGTATACTGCAAGTGAGAACTTCGCAAATTACTCTATTGTTATAAATTTCACGAGCGTTATTTGCCTGTAGCCTATACAATTGCTTCAACATTGCACAACCGAATTTAATACTGAATAGTAGAGGATAACTTTCCATCGTCACAGAATTGATGTAAAAATATCAGTTGAACCAAAAATTAAAAAATTAAGGCAAATATGTATCTGTAATTTTACAACACGACTCCATCGAGCATGAAATAATTTGAAGGAACATGAATTACTTTCGTTTCAAATTTCCTTTCCAGCAATGCCTGTTAAGTAGTTCATTTCGCAAATTCACCCTGATAAAAACATCGATACTGAACGAAAATTACAATAGATTCGGAACATTTGACTTGAAGAATGAAACAAATAATTAATTATTAAATATTTGTCTACTTCAGGCTATTTTTGAGCCCTCTCAGATTATATCCGCAATTTGAAGGTCAATTCCAAAAGGTAATTTAAGTGTTTTTCATCATAAAAATTTCTTGGAACAAGAAGGTGAGAAGTTTACTGGACAGAGTAATGAGGAGGAGCAAAAAAGTGAATGATGGAGACACATCTCTAAAGGACAGCACGATCACTGGGTGTACATCAAGAAGAATATGAAGGGGTTTCAGGCTAGCCATATTACCGCTTTTAAGTTACCCTTGGCTACCACCGCATCAGGCTTGTTGCAAGGACCAGATTCTATAGCTAATTAAAAAATTTCCCTTCGTGAAGAAGTTGCTGGTGCAACCATAACTAAACAAGTATTACGTTGTTGATCATGGAAGTTCCATAAGTGGATAGCAACTATGATGAAAAAGATAATCAACGGATGAATGGATGGAGAGGGAAACTCACAATGACCAGACTAAATGAAATATATAGAAACAAATCGAACATTACGATTATGCAAATTATTCGTAATAGAATGAAAGAAGGAAGGAAGGCGAAGTGAATATGCATCGGTGAACGAGAGAGTGAGTGGGGCGGAGAGAAGGGAGTAGGGATGGATGTCTGCGGTGACGGCGATAACACCCACCAGACTATGCCGTCATCGTCATCGGGTTGTGTCCACCCACCTCCGCAGCACAATCCCCTAAGGCGTAGTATTACATTGCAACAGGGCCACTACGTGCCATGCTGGCGTGCAGACAACGACGACAACAACAACAACAACAACAATGACGGTAGAGAGTAGTGAGTGGGCGGGCGATATTTAGAGAGTTATCACGAATTCTGGATGAAATTCGATGTAAATGCAAATAGGCAGACGGCAGGGACCATCTTGAGACTTGTGTAAACAGCGAGCAACGGTGGTTTAGATGATTCCCTACTACTCTCTCCCACCCTCCCCCTCCCCTCTCTCTCTCTCTTTCCCTCTTATAGTGATCTCGCATCCTTTGGGCAGTCTTCCTTATAACTTCAGATTTACCGGAACAAACATGTTCCGTTACACGCAAGATAAGACTACCATTGGGGTATCATCTTAAGCTACCTGTGTTGTTATTGATATCAGGAAAGGACCGCTCTTCTAAATAACAGGGGACTGTGTCTAGTAATTTTCTCCAGTAAAATCGAATGTTTACCCGTGACTGCGAAACGCACTGGTAGTATGTATGGTGGGCTTTACCGAGAGCGGTGATGATACCATTTCAAATGTTCAGTAAGGTAACTACGGACTGCTTACGCCTATTGTAGCGTTCAAATGTTGTGAATAGAGTTCACATTTCCGCCAGCAAAAAAAAGCATCACAAACTTTGCGATAAAGGGGTAGAAGCAGAAACAGATTTTGGGACGAAAAACCTTCAGAATACTGGTCAGGGCTATTAGATAAGACAAAAGTGGGCAAAAGAACACGGATTTACTGGAAGCAAGAGAGAAGCTGCACCTGGCGAAAGATTAGAATACTGGAATGAAAAAAAAAGAGAAGACATGCTTGTACCATATTTGGTGCACCTGCTGGACCGATCCGGAAAGTATTGTGACCAACTGCCCATATTCCTACTTCAATTTTAATAACAACTTTTTTATCAAAAGAGCCAAAATCTGTTTTGTATATCGAGTTTTTAAAAAGTACCGGAGAAGTTCATACTTTTCGGAATCCATCGGTTCATTGTAATGGTGCTAAGTTCTTTACCAGATGTCTCGTACAAAAACTGTTGTGATTGAAACTTTTATTATAAACAGTGAATTTCACGCTCAGCGTGATGACCCCTTTTGCTTTTGGTGGAGAGGTAACTGATCGCTCCCTCCCCCCATCACCATTTCATCCGTGATTGATTGAAAGGAACGCTGATGGCTCACAGCTGAGAAAGAAAGGATGTTACAATGAATCTGCATAATTAATGCAGCAAGCAAAGTGCAGAATGACCCTGAGGGTCGCAGGAGCGAGGCGGGTATCGCGTGGTAACCAGTGCCAGTTGTCATCATTCTCCTCCTATCCGATAACCCCTTGCTGTTCACAACTCCCTCCCTCGCCTTCTTTTCCTCCCTTTGGATGGCGTTTTGTGACCCTAAGTGTGCATGTACAGCTCACTATACACGCCTAATCTCTGCGATTGTGATAATGTCGACAAGATGAGGATCATACCAGAGAAAGCATTCTCAAGTTCATTAACATAAACATAAATAGCAGAAGGGGAGAGAATCGAGAAAGTATTTCAATTCAATTCAAATGTTGAAGTTAGAAACCGTTTCTAATGATATCATCCTACAAGTTTTGACCTTTCTATTCTCCACTTTTCATTTCTTATTACTGACCAATACGGAAATAACATCGGTTCAGATATCTTATCGCTTAGAAAAAATATGAAGCAGGGGAAATGGCGATGATAATAAGGTATAGAGATGAACATCTGTGGAGGGATTTAGATAAGTTGAGGATGAACGGGTTAAACGGATAAGAGTAACGATGTTCCTTGGTCACTTTCTTGGGTGGTACACGGTGGTGGTGACATATCCTACCCTACTCTGAGCATTCTTATTTAGAACATACTAGTTACCAAACTCATCAATGCATGGATGGCGAAGAACATGAACCAGCAAATGGTGACACTTTGTATCCGCGTCACTTTTCCTCAACATAAATTTGCATGCAGAGTTGCAGTTCAGATAACTCCGAATTTCTAACTGCAGTTGGTCTACGGAGAGATGTAAAAACAAAAATGTTTTCCCAAATGAAATTATGATTTGAAAATGATTTAAACTAACTGTTTAAATGACCAAAGATTGTCACTTAAGTAGCTTTTTCAAAAAACATATAATGTACAGAATCATTGCTATTATGTGATACTGTGCAACCACAAGTCAATATAAATACTAGATAATGAAGAGGTTAACATTAGCTAGTTTGAATTGATAACCCAAGAAAGTCAACAAGGAAACTTAATTTCTTGCTGAAGATCAACAAAGCACTGAATACACTATGTATTTCTATCAAATTTTTTATCGTAAGTTTTTGCCATTCCAAATTGTTACGTCATCTGGAATTTGCTTACAAAATGTTTCGAAAAATGTATAACGTTTCTTATCATTATAATTTCTTTAGATAGAATTAGTATTTTTCAGCAAATGTCGAATGTGAATTTTAGACGAAACTTTTCACCCTTTCATGTTTGCCACTTTTTTATTCCAAAAATACAACGGAATTGGTTGGGATATCCTGAAATGTTTACAGTTGCATTGATGATATTCAGTTATTTACAATCACAGCCATTTCACACTTCAAAAATTAAACGTATTTTTTCCAGAAAGAAAAAGTGAAACTTACAGATTATTTCTAAGGGCTGTTTTAAAATTTTCCTTTTTTAAATGAAATAAAATTTTCCTAAGATTTTAATTCAAGCAAAGCTGCCTGCATGAAATGGATGAAATGAGGCCTTCGGAAAAGTTAAAAAGCTAGTGGAAAAGCCAAAAAGCCTTCTCCACTGGCACATGTTGATAAACCGCTTCACTGATTAATTACCTTCAAAAATCCAAGCTTAGTTTCGATCATCCAAACAATACTGCCAGTTACACTGACTTGATCAATGCTTTTATTTCACACTTGTCCCCTTTCTCAATGATATGCTGATATGTTCCTTTCAGTGTTTCTTCTGCTTCTATTCTCCGTGACTCAAAGTTCGTCTAGAAAAAATTCTTTGGAACCATTTCGTAGTTCCAATCGGAAAATCGTTCCAAGTCTCAATCAAGGTCCATATTATGCGCAACCGGAACAGATTGCTCTTAGCTATGGAGGTAGACCATGTTGGCTTTATCAGTTTTACAAATTTATTTTTGTTTTTGTTTTTTT